GAAACAAAAAAACAACCATCCCTCCCCGGTGCTTACTCAGTTATCATTCACCCTATTTCTTTTAAATAATACCGCCCCTCTTCCCCCCCCCCCCCCCCCCCCCCAAAAAAAAAAAAAAAAACACGCCTCAGTCGTGAGTCCAAGCCGAGACCATTTGATTGGCTTTTCTGGCAAATTAGATACATCTACGATCCGTATCTGAGACGGGATTGGACGACGGCAAGCCAAAAAGTAAACAACGATTGGTCAGAATACGTAGCGCACAGAACTTTGCTATCTAACTAACCTTCTTTTGGTCATGATCTAAAAAAAGAAGCATGTCGGGAGAGTACTTGGGAACAAATGTGGCGAGCAGAGGCTAGAGCCTAGCCGGCTTAGAGGGGAAAGGGGGGAATAAGAAAAAAAAAAAGAAACATATGACAATATGATACAAGGTTATCATACATGTTTATTACCTAGGTATACATTACGGACATATAGACAACCGTGACATTGGCTAAAATAATAGGCGAAATTATAGATATCATAACTAACCAGATGTCATATTCCGTCTTAAGTAAACTTGTCTGCCTATTCCTCGACTAAAATGACCAAACAGAGAAATCCTTCCCAAACAAACAATGCTACGCCCATCTACTCCGGATACCATGGTATCAATACGCTATCTACTTCATTAACGGAGCTTACGCGCTACTGCGAGAGAGGCGCGTTACGCACGTATCCATAGATCCATGTACATACTCAATAAGGTCAAGCGTACGAAGTATAGACACAGATTACCACTCGTATTTTCGTCATACACGGTGGTCTCCAGGCCATTCACACAGTCGAAGTTAACGCAACGCTTTCAAAAGAAAATAAAAAACGTCATGTCGTGCTACAATATGCATTTGACTCCTCTACATAGGTAGTATATGTGATACACACGATATAATGCCACGTGAAAATCCGAAGGATTGCCTCGTGACGGATGCGCATTGCATGAATACTGCTTACTCCACCTCCTCAAGCCACGAACGATATGATCTTCGACGTGCGGTTGGACTGTCAACTCTCATACCGTCCTACGGTAACCTACATAGTAGCAGGAACCTAACAATGTTAGGCGTTAAATTATCACCAGGGATTGTTCGCAAACAGTTGACTCAATAGGCATTCATCTACAACTACACCAGCACGACCGGAGTACCGGCAAGAGGGCTTCATACAGCTTTTACCGAGTCGGATAAGAGACAAATGGTAAAGCCTTCGTCATGCAGCCGAGAAAGGCGGCTATTAATAAAAACGCTATCTACTACTAGCATGAAGATTCAGATTCAAGCATCACTAGCAGAGCCTAGCTCGGAATTATGCAGTTGCTTAAAACATGAGGTACTAACATACCTCACGATAATTATTGTAACCGAATTAGGTTAAAGTTCTCATCTAATCATAAAACCCCATTGATGGCGGAGGATAATGACCATGACGATGATGCGATTAGCATAATACACCCAGCCCTAAGCCCTATAAGAGGGTCAACACGATGCGTCAAATCGTCGTTAATCGATATTGCTCGTAAGTGTAATCCGTACCTACAGGTAAATAAGCACAGGTTCACAGCCACCTCCATAGAATAGAAGGCTGATCTTACGTATCTTGGCCAGACCTCTAGAGCTCCAGATCAAAGGAACGATAATCGAATGTTCGACGAATCTTCCAATTTAAGCAGCATTGTGTTCCGTATGGCATATGCCACCCATCGTCATGCAAGGCCCGGCGCCTCTCTACCACCAGTACTAGGTGTAAGCACGTATTTTATGCACCCTCTCATCACCGACCAGATCTCGCAGCCCATTCATTCAAAACAGCATTTTTTTTTTTCATTTCAGATGAGTTGATTGGTTATACCGCTTATGATCTTCCTGCGAAAGAAAGGAGAGCTTTTGTTTTTTTGGATACGGCCCATAAGTAGTTGGAGAAAGATGGGGGCCGACGCCTACATTGTCCTTACTTGTCTCCTTACACGTCCCTACGAAATCCCTACATGTTCCAGTATCCCTGGCGCGCACATGGAATATGTTACACGGCGGCATATTA